GGCTATCTAGACTCTCAAACCTAAAGTTTGAGGGAGGGAGAAAATGAGTTAACCCATGGGCATTGAAATGCTCTTCTATTTATGGTGCTGGTGACATCTGGACATAGGCCAGCAGGCAATACAAGACAGACTGAAATGAGGGGAGGTAATGTTATGTTATGTAGCTCTCATTCATTGAAAAAGACTATGGATTTTATAACCACTCTCGCCATCAGATACGAATATAAGATCAAGTATAACACATCACCTCTACATAACAAAAAAACAGCCAGAACGATGGTTTTCAGTCCATTCCTATGGGAAATTTTGCTTCAACTTAAGAACGTTTCAACTTAAGAACACCATTCCAAAACGGATTAAGTTCTTAAGTAGAGGTTCCACTGAGAACCACCTTCCAATACGGATTAAGTTCTTAAGTAGAGACCCCACTGTAAGATCAAGCACAACACACACTTGCACCTGACCTTGGAAGAGTTATCTCCTGGACTACAACTGGAAGACTCTGGAACTAGAGGTGTTTTTTTTTTTTTTTAAAGGAGTAGGGTGATTTTGCAAGCTGTGTCCTTGCATGTGTTAATATGGCTAGGGAAGAATACTGGAATGGAAGTTCAGTGGTATAGCAAGTGTTGAATTACTGGCATCTTACTCAAGGTTGGGAAAGGCTGTTCTAATGGCATTGTAGGGTCCCATCTATAGACAATCAGAACTAGCGGAAGAGCACTGGAATATTTATTCATCTAGTGACATCAGCACAGAAGAAGCAAACCTGACATATGCAGGACTTTGACTTGCCAGTCGCTCTATTAGTCAAAATGCTCTCTGCCAAATACATTTTGTGAGGCTACTGTAAAAACAGGAAACAAAACCCCTCCAGCATATGACGCTTTTGAGTCTTTTGTTGGAAGAGAAAAACCAGCATCCAAACTCAGGAAACCCTAATCTCTTTCAATCCCCGAGGGAATTAAGAGCTATTTTCCTTTTTAAAATTACATGTCACAGAAAGAAGTAAATCTTTGACAAAGTCTTCTGAAAAGGGCTTGCATGCCAGTATCACACTATTAAATTCAGTACCACTATCCTATTTCCAAAACTTCAATTTTATAAAATCAACCCCCTATTTGAGCTTTGCTTTTAATAGTTCAGCATTCTTGCTCCCAAATGTGTGGAACTTAAAAATGGAAGAGAAAGTAAAGGTTAGGGAGGACTTCTCTATATGAAACAGAAATTTCCCACAGCACAATTCCATTATTTTCTAGGGAAGTAATTTCTAAATAAGCATTCCTGTAGTTTTGATTCAAGTTTATCAACATGTGGTAACTGGGATATTATTTCAGATAGTTGGAGATCCATGGTGCTCCCTGGTGTTTTCTCATCCAAATGTTAACCATAACATTTAGCTTCCTAAATCAGACTAAATCAGATGCATTTGGGCTAGTACTGCAGCACTTATTTACTCCTTCTAGACACCATGTGTTTCCTAATCAGCATTCTCAACAGATCAGAAGCTGGTTGGGAATCATCGTTGTTTAGTTGTTAAGTTCTGTCAGACTCTTCATGACCCCATGGACCAGAGCACGCCAGGCCTTCCTGTCTTCCACTGCTTCCCGGATCTGGGTCAAATTCATGTTGGCAGCTTCAGTGACAATGAGTAGTATAGGCCCCTATACTACGACACTGTCCAACCATCTTGTCCTCTGTCGTCCCCTTCTCCTCTCGCCTTCACTCTTTCCCAACATCAGGGTCTTTTCCAGGGAGATTTCCCTTCTCATGAGATGGCCAAAGTATTGGAGCCTCAGTTTCAAGATCTGTCCTTCCAGTGAGCACTCAGGGTTGATTTCCTTTAGAATGGATAGGTTTGATCTCCTTGCAGTCCAGGGGACTCTCAAGAGTCACTTTCCAGCACCACAATTCGAAAGCATCAATTCTTTGGCGGTCAGCCTTCTTTATGGTCTAGCTCTCACTTCCATACATCGCTACTGGAAGAACCATAGCTTTTACTATGCTGTCCAAGTTTCTCATTGCTTTCCTCCCAAGAAGCAGGTGTCTTTTAATTTCGTGGCTGCTGTCACCATCTGCAGTGATCATGCAGCCCAAAAAGGTAAAATCTGTCACTGCCTCCATATCCTCCTATTTGCCAGGAAGTGGTGGGACCAGTGACCATGATCCTGGTTTTTTTGATGTTGAGCTTCAGACCATTTTTTTGCACTCTCCTCTTTCACCCTCATTAAGAGGCTCTTTAATTCCTTCTCACTTTCTTCCATCAGAGTGGTATCATCTGCCTATCTGAGGTTGTTGATATTTCTTCCAGCAATCTTAATTCCGGCTTGGGATTCATCCAGTCCATCCTTTCGCTGGGAATCATGCTCATTTTTGCACCTAACTGACCTCTCCTTCACCCTTTTAGAAGCCCTTAGTTCAGTGGTTCCCAATCTAGGGGAACCCAGGTGTTCCTGGACTGCAGTTCCCAGAAACCACCAACCAGCACAGCTGATGGTGAAAGCTTCTGGGAATTACAGTCGAAGAACACCTGTGTTACCCAAGGTTTGGAATCATTGCCCTAGTTTAAAAATAAACCCAAAAAATCACCCACAGAAGGAGAATGGCTGCTTGTAGAAGTTCCCCAGGGTGGCAATTTCCATTTATAACAGGATGCTTTGTTTTGCTCCCAACCGCCACAAAATTCATTTATACAAAGTCAAAAGTGGATTTGGGCCACTTGCAGTTTTGATTTTAGGAATGTGGTCTGTGGCAAATCTCAAAGATGAAAAATTAGCTTTGGGACTCCTGTTGCACATTCATACATATTAGAACCCTGCAGTCTATTGCAGTAGCTTTATTCTTCCATGTTTGTAATGATGAGCACTCCTTGTCTGAATGAATTTATTTTCCCATTATCTCAAGCTTATTCAGTTCCCGGGGAGGCACTGCTACTTAGCAAAGGACTGCCTGGATATAAAAGCATTTGCTCGCTAGCAGAAAGAGAAGTGGGAGGGAGACTCCTTTTGCTTTCTCTCTGGCCTGGTATTTATGCAATCTTTTCAATGCCACTGCCATTTGTAACTACTTAAGACATTTTAAAACTCTTGGCATTAAGAGATATTTTATGGCACTGGGATGGAGCCAGACATAACTATATGCAAAAGAAGATCTGTTGCAATCACTGGGACTCAGATAACTCCAATACTATTAATGGGCCTGCTCCAATTATGACTAAATATAGATGCAAATCTAAATGTATTTCTTGGTGAGTTGGGGTATTATTTTATCTTACAGAAATTTTGATCACAGTTCTCTGAAACCCAAATGGTGTGAAGGGCGGCATACAAAATTTCTATACCAGGTAAAATTGTGAATAAGAAATTATTTACCAGCTGCCGCAGGTAATCCTGAATGGTGCTTGGATAAACAAGAATGCTGATAGCCACCAAGGTGTTGAGTGCAAAATCAAATATTTGGTAGCAGAAAAAAGGGATGATCCAGGCTGCATGTTGCTGTATAAGAGAGAGAAAGAGATTAGAATCTCAATAGTCAGCTATGAAATTGATTAAAAATGTGTTTGAAATGGTTCACAGAATAAAATGCAGACAAGCCTAAGAAAATATACAGTGGTGCCTCGCTTAACGAGCACACCGCTTAACGACGAATCCTTATAGCAGCGCGTTTTTTGCGATCGCTAATGGAATCGCATTGCCATGTTCTGAATAGGGAAAACATTGCATTGTGATGATCGGTAAGCATTTCGCTTACCGATCTTCGCATTGCAATGTTTTGGAACAGCTGATCGGCGGTTCCAAAATGGCCACCCGCAGCGTTTTCTCGCCAATTCCTCACTTACCGTGGCGGCGAAAATGGCGGCCGGATTGAGGATTCCCGCTTAGCCGTGAGTTTTGTCCCCATAGGAACGCATTAAACGGAGTTTAATGCGTTCCTATGGGGTTCCCCCCCGCATAGCGATGTTTCCGGATAGCGACGTTTTTCCTGGAACGGATTAATGTTGCTATGCGGGGCACCACTGTATTACCAAATTGTGTTTGCTATCATTTAGACCCAGATTTATATGTCATGATTGTCATAGATAATTCCACCTTGTTCTAGGACAGTTTCTGTTACTATTTTCCATGGTATTATTCAGAGCACCCTGCCATATAAAAAGATGCAAACACGCAGCACTTTTAATTATTGCAAATGTGCAGAGTAATGTTTCTAAGTTCTGATTAGGGTGCTTTAAATTGCAGTGGCCAAAATCCTGTTGCTTAGAATAGTAAATTGTATTAAAGCAGGCCTATTGAATCAATGGGGAGTCAGTGAGTCAATGCCTCTGTAAGTTCCACTGACGCAAATAGGTCTACTCTAGTGCAATTTGCTACATTAAAGAATTGGATTTTGGCCTGTGGGCATATGTACACACATGTATACATATATACAATATACTGCACGGTATCCTGTAGGTTACTATGATGGTTCAACAGAATCTTCTTAGCAACTTCATATGACAAATGCTTTGTAAGTTATGGTAAGATGACTTTTCCATGAACCATTTCTTGTTTTCTCTACCTTTTTTTATTTTCTGCAGAATAACACACCACAAAGCATGCATTACCTTATACGCTCCATATGTGGCCATTGCACAGATAAGAATCATGAGAAGAGAAATGGCTGTGGCAATGCACATATCTGAAACAAATAAGAAATCAATGATAGGTAAGGATGGGGTGAGAATTTTGTAGGACTATTTACAAATTCCTTCATAGGTGTAGTAGAAACAGCTTGCAATTTAAAAATGCTGGCGTTTGGAAAAGATTCTTGATCTCTCTTAACAGCTATAGAACAGTTAAATACAACATGATCCCTCCATGCTAGGAACTATTGGAGGCACTGAATTCACCCAGTGACAATTTCCTGAGTTTCATCCAGTTCCCTTCTTATAGGCACATAACCAGAACGGGAAAGTGTCTTCATATCTGAGATAGAAAGATCTTGGGCTTAAAACCAATCCAATGTAGAAGAAAGTAAAGTAGGCAGGTCCTCCCATCCCTGATTACCGATACAGGGACTGCTAGCTCCTGTTTTTCTAATTTTTTCATTATGTCGTAGGTAAAAGTTTCCAAGGACTGGTGGCTTCTTATGGAAACATTCGAAATTTGCATTGTGATTGTTCATTAAAAATAGGAAGCAAAACACATTTCTGGTAACATGGCAGTATTACAGAGCCAACAGAAGCCTCTCAAAGAAGAACTTGCCCCATGCTCCATAAAGTAATGCAAGAACCAGGCATAGGCAGTTCTCCTTCAACTTAGACAGCCTTAACACTCCTCTGATGCATGAGCAGCCTCTGGTGGAGAAAGGGAGAGTCTAAGATGTGTCTTTGCAATTATGTGTTCACCTGCTTCTAGATGGGCAAAGGTTACTTATTCAGAAGTACATATATTTCTGGCATGCAGAAGACTCACACTATAATCTATTCCCATGACTTCACTTCGTCTGCCTTCTCCCCCCCCACCCCAATTCACACTAAATCTGTAATCCAACACTATCCTTGCATACAACTCTTAGTCCAAACTCATCAGCCTTCAAAAACCTGTGTTCTTGTTAATGATCTCTACTTGCATCTCATGTTACAACTCAGGTTCTCACTCTCTCCTCTTAGATTACACAGACATAATACAAAAAAACTGGTTTGGACTTTTAATGTATTCTGCATGATGGATCTTATATTTAGAGAAACATTCTGAGCCCCATAAATGGCTCACTGGTAAATCATTCTAGAAACATCTATATGAGTGAATCAGATTGGAAACTTCACTTTTTTCCTACTAGTTTTGTGAGTCTCCTGACCAACATGGGCTTGGGGGACGGCTCTGGGAAATGTAGGTCTTCATGGTGCAGTGGTTAAACTGCAGTTAAGACTCTGCGCATGACACGAGTTCAATTCCAATGGGCTCAAGAAGCTGGCTCGAGGTTGACTCAGCCTTACATACTTCTGAGGTCAGTAAACTAAGTACCCAGTTCACGGGGGTGGGGGATGTGTAGCCTACAAAAATTGTAAGCAACCCAGCGAGTGCTTTAAGTGCTACGGGGCAGTATATAAACAGCACACTTTGCTTTTGTTTTAGGTCAAAAAACAACTTTTTCAAGTTCTGGATAGAATCCTCTAGTCAATGTGCAGCCTTTAACCTCTAAGAATTAAGACACACAAATAAAATAAAATAAATAAATATATCTCACAGGCATATACATCAACTTGAAGCTTTTAAAAATTTGTAGACACAATAACGGTTTAACACATGTTTACTTCTCTCAGCAAATTGTTGCAGTTGCAAATGTTTTGGTATTCTCTGGTTTGCATTGGAACAGCACAAAAAATAGAGAAGGAAAGTCAAATCTGATACAATCCCACACAGAAACCCAAAAATGCACTGGCCAAAATTATGGGCACCCTGTCTAAATTGTAAAAAATAATTGCTTCTCGAGCATGTGATGCTCCTTCAATTTGTATTTAGACACACCTGTTGCAAGTAAGAGGTGTGGGCAATACAGTAATCACACTTGCAACCAGTTAAGGTGGAGAAAAGTTGACTCAACCTTTTTGTTGTGTGTGACACTGAGCATGGAGAAAAGAATGAAATGTAAAGAGTTGTCTGTGGATTTGAGAGAAAAAATTGTGGAAAAACATTGACAATCTCAAGCCTACAAGTCCATCTCCAGAGATCTTAATGTTCCTGTGTCCACTGTGTGCAATATCATCAAGAGGTTTACAGCCTGTAACTAGCCTCCCTGGACACAGACAGAAGAGCAAAATTACAACAAAGGGTTGTTCCAATGGTGGATACAGAACCCAGGTTAACTTCCCAACAAATTCAAGCTTATATCAAAACAAAACACAATGTTATGATCCCTTCTTGGAGAGGAGCCACTCTGGAAAAGGAAGAGGAACACAAGAGCCCTAAACTCAAATGCATAGCATTAAAGCGACCCAAACTTCCAACAGCAACTGCACGAAAGCTAGACTCCAACATCTATTATCAAGGTTAATCACTGATAACAATATTTAATAAATCAGCTTCGGTTACAGTCCTTTTTCTAAATCTCATAGTTAATGCCAATTTTTTTTTCTGAGACAATCGTGTACATAAATATTAAATCTGACCAATAAAGTGCTATCCTGGCATAACATCAGCTCCCTTACATAGGGACCAGACTGTAATTACTAATGACATGATATACTTACTGGCATCATCCATAAATTCAAAGTCACTCCCTAATTCAGCAGTCGTTAAGTGGTATTGGCCAGGGTCCGTCAAGGCGCTCAGTATAATCAGGAGTACCACTGCATTAATTATCTAGATATTGAAAGAAACAGAAGATCAGGCACATACACATGTAAGTAACCAAAACAGATTAACTCTTCCCATTATTAAACTGCGAGAATGGCTTCAAATGTCACCAAATCTCTCCCATACTTCCATTATTGCATCTTCTCTCTGTGACATATATGCAATCCCAGATCTTTGAAAACCTCTTCAAAAATTATGCCCATGCATGAACATCTCACAGTTTCAGAAGCATCATGGGTGCACCCAGTAGCTTAAGACCAGGGCCAGCCCTGCCATCAGACAAAATGAGACAGGTGCCTCCAAAAGCTGAAAAGGCAGTGAACTGTTAGTGATTTAATCTGCATTTTTTACTACTAGGGATGGACCTTTGTGGGATCTCTTCCCACAATAATAAAATAATATCATAATAAAATAATATGCAGCTTGACCAGGATGGAGAGACCCATTTACTGTTCTGCCTCTAGCATTAAAATATCTATAGAGGTAGGCTTGCTGGGGAGGCATACACTCATGCACACAACAGACATGAGAGAACAAAGGACAGGGCACCTGATCCAGCCTAATGTCATAGACCAGCCATTTATAACATGGGCTGAATCAGATGGTATTTCTCTTGCATCTTTAACAAATATCTATTTTGCTCCTCCAAGATCATTGGCCTGCTTTACAGACAAGCCAGCTACTGTAATATGTCTCTGGGCACTTGAGTACAGAAGAAACTCTCATTGCCCTCCTTATCCAGGCAACACCATTAATGAGAACTACAGACCTTCTGCTGCTTTCGCCCATGCACAAATAAGCCCTACTTATGTGAATACATGAGCAGAATGCATTTACCACATGCCTTATAAAACTTCATCCTTTTGTGTCTCATTCAAGGTTAGACATGAGAAGGGGGAAGGTGAATGAGTCAGAGGATGGTAAGGACACATTTTATAAAATGTTTTGGTTTTATAAAGGGAATAAGAGACATAAATATTCTCTATTAAGAAACAAACATAGCAGAGACAGAGAGTCAAAATAGACAAGACAGTGATGTCAGCAGGGAAGACATGAAGCATTATAAGTGTAACTTTCAAATGTAAAGATCTTCCTGCTGAAAATGTTTTTTGATCTAAATGTGTATATTCTGATACTAAATATCACCCAATGTCTTAGATACCAATAATAATAAGCTGGCTGGATGGCTCAGTCGTTACAGTATTTGCATGCAGGACTAGAGGTTGGGAGTTTGATGCCTATGTGGTCCTGGATAAACTGTTGTCAGTTTTCAATGCAGTATCTGTTTGTTCTCCTCTCCTCCGTAGGGGGTGGGTTACTCACAGCTTCACTGCCCAATATGGCTCCCGCATCCGATCTGTGCTCGGGTGATCTCTTCAGAGGGAAGAAATACTAGGTTGCTGCCCGGCTTCCTTCCCCTATGTTGCTCATGAAATTGCTTCAGGGAGACTTCTCCTAGTCTCCCCTTTGGTCCTTCATCTTCTGAAGGACCCCCAGACTGGGCGGTTCCAGCTTTCCCCGGGAGCTTCTCTGGGAGCTGCTGGCAGCACCACGACAAGCCTCTCAACAGTAAACCACTTCTGAGTATTCTCTGCCTGGAAAATCCTGACAAGGGTCACCGTAAGTCAAAATTTACTTGATAGCACAGATTAAATTCTATTAGATACCATACTAAACAGGTTTTAATATTCTTTTGTTAATGACTTATCTCTTTGTTGTTGCTCTCGCAAATATACAAGGAACCCAGAAATGCTCTTTCACAGACACAGTAGCAGTGGTGTTGGGGGGTGGCTTTAATATCAGGGAGCTAATTTCCCAACTTCACTTTGATGCCATTTGTTAGCTACTATGCAGTGTAGACTGGTGGCTCTGATGAAAGCAAGGTAATGAATCCACTCTGGGTTTTAGAGACCTTTGAAGAACCTACCAAAAACTGCTGAACCTGTTTGGGGGATTGGGTTCAGTACTCTGGATAGCTCCTGTAAAGCTCACATTGGAACCTAGAGCCAGCTTACTCTCTCCTTAATACAGTATAATGGCAGGTAGGTAGGTAGGTAGGTAGGTAGGTAGGTAGGTAGGTAGGTAGGTAGGTAGGTAGGTAGGTAGGTAGGTAGGAGAACAACCACAACAAACAAAGCCACTAGTTTTCCTTGTATAGTAGATTATAAATTGTACTTTATTGTAGTTGGGAAATTAGCTCATTCACAAAGATTAAAGGCAACAGAGTAAGTTTGGTTTTGATACTGTCTTCTTTAAAAATAGGAAGGAGGATTGACAATTCATGAATAGAATACAACCAAATTGAGATCAGAAGCATTTTGAGAAAAAGAAACAACCTACAAGTCAGGCACTTCAGTTTGTAGCTGATGAAGGTAAAAAGTGTTTTTTGGGAGGTAGAGGGAGGAACCATTTTTAAAAAATAGCAGGGAATAGGACCTGGGCAAGTGCTAAGGAAGGTTCCCACAAGCACATAGGTGCCTACTATAACCATGTTTGATACTCCAGATATATATTATGGTATTTACTACTCCAGAATGTGGTGATGACTGTCAACTTTGATCTCTTGAAACCATAGGCAGCATCCCTCAATATTGCTGCAAAGGAGGACTATCAGAAAAAAACACAACTGCTTGATTTCATTTCTATGGGTTTCCAGATGACCACTATGGGAAACAGAATATTCAACATATTAATCTCTGGTCTGATCCAACAGTATTCTTTGGACGTTCTTATCTAAAAGGATCTCCACAACATACTGGCTTTTCTGCTAAACACACACACACACACACACACACACACACACACAGAGGTACTATATATTAGTTATATATAAAAGTCACCTGTAATAATAGGTTATTATGCATAGTATTTTAATAATCCCATCCACTTAGATGATAAATTTTTTATTTATAGTTTATTTGTTTCTAAGGATCTGAATGGCAGAGATAAAATAATAATCCTAATTGAGATTCCTGTGAACGTTTCCAGTCGACAGACTGCTAATCTGGGTGATGCTGATGAGCTGCAGTCAATGAGATCTTGTTCTAAGCTGTTGCTAGGCAACCATAAATGAGCCACCCTGTGCAAAAGAGCCCTAGAGAGACTGATCAGAGTTGGTTTGCCCATGCATGCTACTAGACTCATGGCTAGTAGCCAAAGACCGGGTGATCTTGGCCATGCTGCCATACAACTACACGTGACAGCCCTTTGCCTGGATTACCAAGATGAGGTGAGAGAGGGAAGATGCATGAGAAAGAAGCAGGTGCCCAGAAGAACAAACAGCCAACATGGAGTGAGGGTAGATCTCACAGGATTTTAACCCAAGTGACATCAGGTTCACTCTCTAGTCAATAATGTTTTAATTACTTAATGAATTTTTAACTATTACTGTAGTTTAATTGCTTTGCAATCTGTAATCTTTTTTAAAAAAAGTATTACTTGTTTTAACATTGTGAACCACACTGGGTCCCCTCACTTCTCCTGAAAGGCAGGCTAAAAATTAAATAAAAGAATACTAACAAAGCAAGAGTAGCTTTCACTGTTTCATATGGTGCTTGCCTTAAAATAGACTTCGCAAACAATTGCCTCCATTACTTGATATATCAGGGCAGAGTGCTCACACTGAAACAATTCATGTCCCTTGAACACATGAATTCCACACGTGTAAGGGACGGAACTGGATAAAAGTCTTTATCCTTCATGTCTCTGAAAGAAGATACACAATGGAGCACTGGTACCAAAACAGCTAAATGCTAGCCTTGGGCACTTAGGATTCATAAGAACTGCTGGACAGCTCAGTCATTTAGGCATCTGGCTGTGGAGCCAAACCTTGGGAGTTTGATTCCCCACTGTGCCTCCCTCAGAGGGGCTGGACTCTCCCAGAGGGGTCCCTTCCAGCTCTGCAGTTCAAAGGTGGTTGTTGTTTCCCTGGGGAAATGAATATGAACTGGGGCACCAGCTGGGCCACTTACCAGGCTCCATGTGGCACTCAGCTCCATCGTCATCATGCCAATCATGGAAGCGGCCCAGTTGGCCCTTCCCTGCCTTCCCCCCCCCCAGCCAACCACTGCAGCATGGAGGTGGGACAGGGAGTCTCCCTGCTCATCTGCTGAGCTGGCTGAACAGGGAGATGGGGAAGGACCGGATGGCCTGCTTCCATGATTGACACAACAGTGACAGAACTGAGGGTTGTACGGAGCCCAGTAAGTGACCTAGGTGGTTTTGGGGGAAGGGGCTCCCAAGGGAAATGAATATGAAGTGTCCAAGTCTACTTAATGCTATTTATGATTCTCTCCACACTTCAATCCACAAAAACAGAACTTGGGAAAGGCAACTGTTTACACTACAACTCCCAGTATCCTACTGGCAATGCTCACTGCAGGATTCTGGGAGCTGTAGTTCAAAAAAAGTGCTACTTCCAAGATTTGCAGAATGGGATGTCATTCTGACAATGTAGCTATGTTCCATGTTTCCAGTCTGCGGCCAACTTCCACAGCAGGACTATTTAACATATTGGCAAATAATAACTAAATTTTAAAAGAAGTCTTGCGTTCCCCAAAGCATCCAAGCCATATGAAAAAGTGATAAATTACACAAAGACAGAAATAGCAGAGAGAAGCACAAGGCAAGCAAGCAGGCAGGCAGACAGTATTAGCACGTAATGGATTAAAGGAGGGTGGCTGACCCAAAGGATGCTGAGCTTTCTGTCTGCCTGTTAGGCAGAATAAGGTGACTTATGCTTTGGTTACATAAAGGATAACGCTTGAGCAAATCACTTAGCATGTAGTTCAGCAGTTCCATTCATCTGCAAAATGCTTAAGTCAGAAATCTGAAAATAATAACTATCCCATAAATCTCACTAAGCCAACAGATATACAAAGCAATATGTAATGTCAGACATGCTGTGTCAGGTCTATCCGGTCAGTCACAAGAAAAGTTACTTTTTTGCACCGTAATTTCCAGAATTTTCTAGCCAGCATGCCAATGTGGTTCAGAGAGTTGTAGTC